TGTTGTGAAAAGAATCTTATTTAGTTGTACAAAGTACTTCAGCCAAAATTTGGGAGCCACGTAAGAGAATTATATATATTAGATCAGAAACACATCATTAAAAGGCAGAATGCTTTGGTGTTTTCAAAACAAAGCAAACGTTGCCACCGGCGGAAAAGAAATACAGCCAAAATTTGGGAGCCACGTAAGAGAATTATATATAATAGATTTTCTAAAGAATTATGTTGTCATACATACTTTTAAAAAATAATCTAAAATTTTGACTTTTATTTTTCATTTCGTAAGAAATGTAATTTAATATTTTTGAATAAAAAATGTTATCACTATAACCGTTACAAAACAGCAACTTTTACAAAATACTGAAAAGTTAATAATTTTGGAGAATGCTTTTTCATGGAATAAATTTTACGTAATGTTCAATCAAAACTTACGAAATTAAATTTTTTTAATGTTTTAACTATGAAAAGAAATTAAGTTTAATTTAGTTTTTATTGCATGAAAACTGAAAGAAATCTCTAAAATTATTAACTTTTCAATATTTCTAACCGTTATTTAAAAGGAAATTATTCTTAAAAAGTAACCTGCAATTTTTACAAGATATATTTCTAATATTTCTAACCAAAATTTTATTTACGAATTTTTTTTTTCCTTAACAACCAATGTATAGTTATTTTCTTTAAATTCTACAAAAGAATAATGTTTGAAAAAAGCGACAATAATATTACGGAATACAATTATTTAAAAGTTTTTAAAAATTTAGAATTATTTTTAAAATTTAGAATTATCCTAACGTTTTTATACTTTTTTATTTTTAAATTTCCATAATATTTAAAAGCAGTTAACTTTTTAATAATATTTTCTAGACATTGCCTTAAAAAGTCTAAAATATTTAGTAAATTTAAATGTAATATTTTTCAAGGCATTTTATTTTGTTTTAAATTATACTGAATAGTTAAATCTTTATTATTATTTTATGAACATAGAATTAAAGAAATTTTTTTTTCTATAACGAAACTTACTAAGGAAAAAAAACATAGTTATTCAAAGGACTTGAAGAGCTTAATCTACAGGTTTAAAAGCATGATGTATTTTATTAACATCTGTAAAATTTATAAAACGATCAATTTGTTTTCTATATGGAAACAGACTTCTCTAAAATTAGTTTATATTTCATTCAACAGATGGCAGGGCGACGTTTTATGGTCTGTAAACTCTATTGATCTCTACCCCAAGAAGCTGAAGAGTATGTTTCATTGTCCAATAATACTCTGTCTCTAAAACACTGCAGTGGGCTTAAGACATAGCAATACAACAGAATTGCCTCTTTAGCTCAAACAATCCTTTGTTACTATAAATAATTAATTAGCAGATAACTTATACTAGAACTATATTGTCCTCTAAAATGTAGCAAAAAAATACAAACTCTAATTTCGTCCTTTTTCGCACGGTGCCCTTTTACTCACATGTTACTGTTATTTAATGTTATAAAATTAAAAACTATTTTTCTGTATATTGAATGTTGTTAGTTTCTATTTTCCTGAATAAACTGAGATCTATCTCAGTCTATAGAATATAGACGATGGCGGATAATTATGCAAGCTATGATGAGGAGGTATGATTTGTCAATATATTAATTTTTTTCCTTGTAGAATAAAATAGATCCTCCTTATCTATCTTAATCCAAGCCCGAATCCTTTTCCTTGCATTTTTCCTTTCGAAATTAGTTTGCATTTTTGAAATTTTTTTCTAAAAAGTAGATCTAGAATTTCTATTTCTTATTTTCTTTACAGAGATTGATGCGATAATTATACTTTCTGAATTTTGATAACGTTCAGAGGTTTTTTGGAAGTATATATAAAGTTTTATTTCTTATTTTTTAAGGAATTTCATAAGAAAAAAAAATTATACTTTTGAAATTTCAATCACATTGAGTCGTTTTTTAAATAGTTGTTTTTCTTAATTGTCAGAGAATTTTATGAGAAAAAATTAATTGTGAATTTTCAGTAATATTTAGAATTCATAAAACTATTTTTTTTCTTCTAAGATAAAATTAAAAGTTTTTTTTGGTACCTAAATTGGGGTTTGAAATAAAATATGAAATGTTCGTAATGAATTATAATTGGAATTAGTTTTGTACCCATATGCTTCATGTGAAAAGCGTTTTCATAAATTGAGGTGAAAATTGGTTTTAAAATATTTTTTCGGAATGTTTGATTTAAATGCTATAAATTAACAAATCTAAAAAAATTAGCAAAAATACAAAATGAAATATTAAAACGTTTGAAATAATAAAATTATATTAGAACTATTAACACATTTATTGTAATTTGGACTTGGGATTCAAAACTTAAACTAATATTTTCTTTAAATAAATTTAATTTGCCCCACACTTTGTAAGCATATAAATATTCTTTTGGGGGCAATTTAATTTATACAGAACTATTATATACTATATTAATTTAAGATCTGAACTTATTTAAGCCACTTACGGTTTATATTTCATTAACAAATATATTACTTCAATTAATATGTTTTAATTCAAAGCTTTATCATTTTCCTTATATTTCTTTTTCAAAATCAAAATTATTTTGCATAGAATTGTTAACAGTAGATCCAAATATTTTCTTATTTTTTAGAGAGTTCGACGAGAGAAAAAACTACACTTTTAAATTTGTCCTTTCGATTTTAATTCGTCTTTTGACTTGTCTTATAAGATGAAAATAAAACGCTTCTTTTTCGTGCAATTTTTCTTTTAAATTTAATATTAGGTTCGAATTAAAAAAAGAACTGTAATTCGAATAATTGTTTTATGATTATATTTTCTCTAAATCGCATCTTAATACAAAAGAGGTGAAAATTATTAGTTCCCTTTTTCATATTTGAAATATTCAATTATTTAGTAAGAAAATAGCGTAAATTAATTCATCAAATATATTGAATCAAAAGTTTGAAAAATACATAATACCACACTCGAAACAATGGCATTATACTTCAACTATTAATACACTTATTAATCTGATAAGTACGACATCAAACTAACTTATACCGGATTTTTACACAGAAAAATGACCTTTGGGCAGGATTCTATAATTCCTGCACTAGTCACGTATCGATTTAAAATATCTATATAATCTTTATTGCCTACATTTTGAGAAAACGTGCAAGGATTGTCAAAACAATTCACTGTGCTATAGTTCAGCAAAAATGCATACTCTGATTATTATTATAAAATACTAGGGACCTTTTGCTTCCAGGACGCTTCGCTCACTAAATTTCACAACTATTTTTTGTTTTCACGAAAATAAACTGACTGATACATAAAGCAAAGAAATAACGTGAAAAAAGGACAAATAAAGCTTCTGGAATGGACATATGGTTCCGGTTCTATAAACAATAACCGTGCTTTATGTCTAAGGACCTTTATGTTAAAGGACAGTAAAAAAGACAGACACGTTTGTTAGAGACACTTCCAAATTTGGTGTCTAAACACTGATGAAGGTTCTTGTTTATGGAAACGAACTATATAATGTTCATTGCTGTACTTGTACTTTATTCGTATTTTTTTTTCTTCTTTATTCTACATAGCGCAAAGTAAACCCTAATTTCATTTGAAGATTGATACAGCTCAAATAAAAAATACATTGAGTTACTTCAGAATAAAGAATTCTTAATTGGACTATTTAATTATAGTAGCATGCATAAATCTGGAATATTATGAACTGGAAAGTATCCTTTAATTTATATAATATTACCTTGCTCACATCCATTCGGGTCCCTCCTTGGAAACCAACACATCAAACGCACTTCAGTACTGCAGTAAGAACGCACTTTAATACAAAACCCCTCTATTTACTCTTTTACCTCAATTTGCGCTTCTGGTTTCATATTTTGCAATCTGGCAATCTTGTTTCGAAAATATTTTAAATCATTCTTAAAAAATTTCCCGTTCATGTAAGTTCATTTGAATTCGCTGATCGCTTTATAGATTTCTTTTCATGTTTTATTCTGTTTTTTCTTTACATTTTAATTTCTGTTTTTACGTAATACTTTTACTTCACGTGTTCTATTTTATTTGTTGTAAATTAAAAAAAAATTTTTTTTGAGTGTTCCTCACACTATTGTATTGATACATTTTGCTTTGACTATATTGATACAATATCAGAAAGCACTCCTTTTTGCGGATATAATCGTGTGAGCTGATGAAAAGATTATATCTTTCATTTTCCGGATTTTATTAATATTTTTTCCCTCTTTTCGGAATTTCTTTTCGGATTTTTATTCTTTTTATTATTACCATTTTTATTTTTCTTAAGTTTAGCTTAAGCTTAAAACTTTAAGTTTTGCTTAAATATTTATCAAAATATGGACATTTTTAAGAAACACAAATTTTTTTCCCCTCTGCGTTTTTGCTATGACATTAAAAACATTCAATAAAATGAAACAATATTTTTTGTGCAATTTAAAATTAATAGCAAAATTTTTTGCTTCAAAATTTGAAGAAAAAAAATTTAAATATGTAAGTAATTAAACTAGTTCTTTCATACTGTGCATGTGAGAAAAAATTAAAAATTCATAATTTTGTAGTTTGTCGTATATGGCAACTAATTTTTTCATTAGTTGCCATATCCGATTCACTACAAAATTAGAAATTTTTTATTCATAATTTTGTAAGTCCAATTTTAAAAAAAGTATCATTTAAAAGGTTTCAAGAAATTTTCAAAGTAGTTTTTGTACTTTGAGAGAAAGAACAAAACGATATAGGGTTTTCTACAATTATTATTTTGCATCATAAGAAAAAATTAAATAACAAATTACCATACCTTTCAATAAACGTTTATACACCAAAATGTTATTGTATAAGCAATGAACACATGCAAAATAAAAGATACTTTTATAATCACCAACAGTACCGGCGCCATTTTTAATGAATCTTGTTAGATAGTACAAATTGAAATTTGTAGAAAAACCCTTGTCGTTATGAGCTTTTTTTAAGTAAAAAAATATGAAAATTAAGTGCAAATTTGCTTTAAAATTTTAGAGTATTCATATCGCGGTTTTTTAATCAGTTTCCAAATGCAATTCACTGTAAAATTAAAAGAAAAAAAATTTTATTTATTCCGCACATGCGCAGTATAAAAGAGCTATTTTAATTACCAATATCTAGCGCAGTTTGCGCAGTTATCTCGCTTAGTACAAAGGTTTTCAAAATTTTAAAACAATAATTTTGTAACTAATTTTAAATTTCTCCAAAAATGTTGTTTCCATTTGTTGTATACTTTTTAAGCAATAGCAAAAAAAAGAGGAAAAAAAATTACTAGACAAAAAAAATTTTTTTTTTTATTAAATGCCCATATTTTCATAAATATTTAAGCTAGATTTATGAAAATTTGTGCAATTTTTGTATATAATAGCCGAAATGATTGTCAGAAATAGCAAATACTTTTAAACAGTTTATATTCTCAAAGCTAGGAAATAATATGTATGCTTGCGTAATTTACAAAGCATTGAAGATTTATGCAAATGGAGAATTTAAAGTTCCAATAAAAAATCTGCGGAATATGTGATAAGTCGTATCGTGTAATATATGTTATGGTTAAAGTATTAAATCCGGTTGTTATTAAAAATAACCCATGAAGTTTACTCAATGTGATTAAATGGTTTACATAGCATTCGGACATAGGTATGCCTTTTTGTATATATGTTACGGTTAAAGTGATAGACCCGGTTATGATTTATACTAACCGGTCAGAATTAATAATAAACGCTCCTTTTGGTCAAAGTGAGAAATAAAAAGGAGAAATTTCCGTATCGTGATCTGTGGCAGAATAATTCTCAAGTTCTGGCAACTTCCGGGCAGCTGCCCGTAGAAAGTAAAAAAATCATCTAAGAAAGGGATCAACGCAAAGGCTATAACTTGTTTCCGCTCCCGGTCAAATAACTACATGTTTTACGCCAAGTACAATTGCCAAGGCCATGTTTTACGCCAAGTACAATTGCCATTTTAAACTTGAAAAATTTTAAAACAAAAAACATCTAGATGTTTGCGGTTATTATTAATTTTCACCGGTTAGTATTAATAATAACCAGCTTTAAAATAATGCAAACAATCGAGGAATAAAAATAATAAAACATGTATTTGAAAAAAACTATAAATAAACAATTTAATGCCATTTCTTATTGAAACCTATTAAAAAAATATATGCTTTACGAATAAATAAAAGCGCTATTTTAATAAAATGACACTATTTTTGTTTTTGGTTGAGTTAAATTTTTTCCAAATACATTATGTATTGAATATGACATCAATGACTGAGCACAAGTGCATTTTTGCTTAATGTTAAAATATTATTACACGTTATTTACGGCAAGAAGCTTAAACTACAACTGTTATTTCATTCCAAGTGCATAAACATTTTGATGCTTAAGTGAATTTGTCTTAATTTTCTCATCTGTTCTGCGTTACTAAACTTTTACGTTCTCTAATTTAATAAATGCACATCGTTATTAATTTTCATTCCATATTCTTTCTACTTGTCTTAACCATTTGCGCTCGAGGTTCCTTCCTCAAAAGTTTTCCTTTTCAAATTAAATTATTTCCAGAAAATTTATGAT